GGCTCACCCCTAGGTCCCTTGGCTCTGCCCCTGCTACCTAGGAAGCTCACAACTTGGCTCTAAACTTCAAGGACCATCCCATTATTATCGAGGGTGACTCAAAGCTAGTGATATCTTGTTTGCAACACAACCTCGACCCATCTTGGAGGCTAAGGAACATCATCCAAGACTGCTGGGAGCTGAAGGAGCAATTAGAGAGGGGTTTGGATTACGAGCATGTGCACCAAGAGGCAAATCAAGCTTTTGAGTGGTTGGCCCATGAAGCTGCAACAAATGTGAAAGGGTTTGATTAGGGGTAGCTTATTCCCATACCCTTTAACTCCCAACCCTAGGGGCATCAGGATTTGATCATGAGCCCCTACTAGAATTAGGGGTGGCAAATGGGTGGGTTGGGTTGGGTAAGGGTTGAATATACCAACCCACTCATATTGACCCACCAACCCACCATGATTCATCATCATTCCATGTTAGAGGGTCGTAGCCCACCATGATCCACCCATATTGACCCACTTGACCCATCTATTTTGACCCTTAACCACCTTGACCCATACTAACACACCTACCATCACTTACAAATACAAAAATGGGTTAGGACGACCCGTATACCCAAAATAATAAATTTTGAGAGAATAATCTCTCTCAAGACTATCACGTGACAAAAACAAGTCAGGTCAACTCGTATGCCCGAAAATGCAAAAATTGTAGATAAATACAGAAAATAGTAGAAAAAGTGCAGAAAATACAAAAAAAAACAAAAAATTGTAGAAAAATACAAAAGGCTAAAAATTACAAAAAACTCAGAATTTTTGCAAAAAAATTAGAAAATATGCAAAAAATACCAAAAAAATTGTAGAAAATTTAGGAAAATACCAGAAGATTTTAGAAAATGTAGAAAAATACCCCAAAAATGTAAAAAATGCAGAAAACTACCAAAAAATGTAGAAAATAACAAAAAAAATTACATAAAATGCATCTTTTATAAAAGTGCTTTCGCAAAAGTACTTTTATGAAAGTACTTCTATAAAAGTGTTTTTATAAAAGTACTTTTGTAAAAGCACTTTTATAAAAAATGATATTACGCTTTTATGCTTTTACAAAGTACTTTTGTAAAAGTGCTTTTAGGCTTTCATAAAATTGTCTTCATAAAAGTACTTTAATAAAAGTGCTTTCGTGTAAAAGTGCTTTCATAAAAGTACTTTTAGGCTTTCATATAAGTCTTTTCATAAAAGTACTTTCATAAAGTGCTTTTGTAAAAGTGCTTCCGTAAAAGTCATTTTCATAAAATTACTTTATAAAATTGCTTTTGTAAAAGTGGTTTTGTATAAAATTGCATATGAACACGAAAGTTAATAAAATTTATTTTATTTCACTTTTAATCTTACAATAAATTGTAGCATGGTGGTTTGGAAGTGTAATGAGATGTGAGTACATAGGAGGCTTGTGTTCAAATCACTATAACTTTTATTTTTTTGAGATTTGGCAAGTATAGATAGAATTGCCTTTGACCCAACCCATCTTGACCCGCGCGACCCAACCTGTCCTGACCCTAATGGATACCCTCGACCCAACCCACCCTAACTGTTTTCCATTGACCCTAATGGGTTACTTTGACCCATATTGACCCACCAATAGATTGGGTGCATATGGGTGGGTTCCAAGGTCGGTGGGTTTAGTGGGTCAAATGGATTGGGGTCCAGTTTGCCAGCCCTAACTAGAATTAGCCAGTCAAGGATCCCACCAACCAACTGAGCCATCACCAATTGGTGTATCATAGTTTAAACCTATACCATATATGATATGTATTATTTGTATTTTAAAAAATATGCACCATATGTGTCATGCTATAATATTATCCCCATACAATATATATAATTTATAAATAATTGCATGTTAGGCCGAGTTTGGTTTTGTGCAGGTTTGGTATGAATCTTGCCGAACCCAAACTTGACCCAATACAACTTCACCTTAGAACCCGACCTACCCCAACAAAAAGGGGAGGGGCATCAAACCTAAACTGATCTGTTCCACTCATGGTTTTCGAACCGCTGTTGACCCGAACTGTCAGACCATTTGGCCCGGGAACCGTCCAGGCAACCGGTTCCGTTTTACCCCAAACCTAATCCCTAGAAAAAAACTGTTGAATCAGTCAACGACCCATTGACTTGAGTGGTCGAACCGTCGACCCATTCAATGGTTTTGGCCATTTTTTATTTTTATTTTTGTTGTTAGAACGGGCCATCCGTTCAAACTAGATGGTCAAACCGTTGACCCAAAAACCGGTGGCCAAAATAGTTCATTTTTTTAAAACCATGGTCCCACTTAACCAAACATGTTAAATTCTTGCCGTTGTGAGCTTGCCTTGTACCGTTGGTTCCGATGAAGGATAAAAGGAGAGGGTTGCCAGCTTTATATTGCCTAAAGTTCATGGAACTAGAGATAGGATTAATTGAACAAAATGCCTATTCAGCAGGCCGTGCAATCAATTATAACACTCCACAACAGTCATAAAATACATGAGACCCATAACTATTTAACCTCTCAGTGTGGGTTTCATCTATTTTATCACTATAGCAGTGTAGCATTACCATTGGTCCCACGACCTGTTATCTTGGGTATACAAGATGAGATCAAATCAGCCCCCCACAAGATTGCTGCCATAACATCCCATAGCACATCCTTGTCGTGTATTGGGAACATCGTGTATTGGGAACATCTCTTGATGATAATACTAGAAATGATGATGTCATCATCGGGAAATGTTCCCAATACATGGTGGGATGTGCTAG